AGATTTAACAACCTCCAGAATTCACCAAAAAGAAGACCAAACTTTGCCAACTTCAAGATTACAATCATAATTAAACTTGTAATTAAAATAATCTTTTTTTAGAGGGATAGGTATAAATTATTGAAAGATGTATGTATTCAGTTTATTTTCTGTCATGTAGAAGCTACTTATATATGAATAGCGAGGAAGGGGAGATAAACTCCCCCTTTGAAAATGTGCCTATTTAATAAAAAATAATAATAAAAGAAATTTTTTTAAAAAATTAATTGTTACAAATTGTATGATTTTAAGGATCGAGTTAAACAAAAATTAAAGATATTTATTAAAGGTGGTAAAATAATGATCTATAACACAATTTCTCAAAAAGTTAATTGGATATAAAAACATTTGTATATTATTTCAACAAGAAGAAAATAAATGAACATCGATACTAAAAATATTTACTGTTTTTTTTTAAAAAATTTGTCCAATAAAAATGATTATAGGGTAATATGTCCAATAATAATAATGTAACAACCTAAACATTCATTCAATTTTATAACACATTTTACCATCTTCATAAGGTTGCAAAAAAGGTTAATTAAGGTTAAATTTTTTATAGATTATATAGTTAACCTACAGATAAAATTGGCTTCAAAGATATTTAATCAAACTGGGTAGAATAAAGGAGAGTTTTAATTTCATAGTATGTCTAGGAATTTAGGGGTAAAACAATTTTGTAAACTATACTTTGATAAACATTTTGAATATTTTAATTTTGTTAAAACTTAAATGTGTCCAAAGTGTTGTTAATAATTTGTGAAAATTTTAAGGATTTTTTAAAACATTTTGGATACAGCTTAAAATAAAATTTTAGTTAATTATTATTCAATAAATTTTTTGGATTTAAAGAAAAGTTATTTAGATAGGTTTTATATGAAACTCATGTGCATATTTAATAATTCCTTTCTAAAATAATCATTTTTATTATTATTCCAAAACTGGAGATAGATTAGATACCAAATTTTATTTTATTTTAAGAAATATTATTCTATATCATAAAAAATTATTTAACTACTTTTAAGACCTTCATAAATACTCTTTTAAACAAAGACCTCCTATCATAGATTTATAACAAATATGAGGTCAACCTGATTGTGTCACAAACTCTGTGGTGGTATCCATTGGCTATTTAGAGGCAAGGATCAAAATCCAGGGTCTTAATTTATTGGGTATACATAATAATTAAGATTGATTGTTAAGGGAGAAGTTAAAAGAGTATTTATGAAGGTTTTAAAAGCATTTAAATAAATTTTTATGATAAGTGTAGGTTTTATATGAAACTCATGTGTATAAATAGTTCCTTTCTAAAATAATCATTTTTATTATTATTCCAATGGAGATAGAATAGATACCAAATTTTATTTTTATAATTTTAAGAAATATTATTCTATTCTACAAGTAATTTTTCTTTAAATCCAAAAAATTTATTGAATAATAATTAACTAAAATTTTATTTTAAGCTGCGTCCAAAATGTTTTAAAAAAATCCTTAAAATTTTCACAAATTAATAACAACATTTTGCATCAATATTTTCTTTTAACCATATATATTGTTTGACATATAGTAGATCCTTGTTTTCCAGTAACGATCTGAGTTATTGTAATATATTTATTGTATGGTGTAAGAGAAAATTGATAGATATTCCAAGATAAGTTGAGATTATTAGCATAATATTTTGAAGGAAAAAATAGAGAATTAAATAATTTTGTATAAATTGTAAAAATTGTCCACTTATTAATACTTTAATTACCATTAAATAATTCAATCTATTATAATATAGTGTTGTATATTTTCTCATTACTTCATAATTGTAGAATGTATGTTATTCATAACTTATTATAACATTTTTGATGAAATGTATAACATTTTTGTTTTACTTATATATAATTTGACTATGATTTGTAGTTAACCTCCTATTATTTGATAACTTAAAATATCTTTTGATTTTTTCTATTGTAATTTAATATCAATTTCTTAAATTTAATTTTATAATTTGTAACTAAATAATAAATCATTTGGAAAGGTGATGATTTGTTTAAAATTTAAATTAGGATGAACATATTTTCAGCATGGTACTTTAATATGTATTCATGAATTTCATATAATGATAGGTAAATCAGATATTTCCTCTTCATTTGATGATAATTTTGAAAAATTTTCCCAATTAATATATACATATATTAGACAGATTTAATTATTATAAACCCCTTACTATTTTTCAGGATCCAAGGAAAAAATAAATTATTCTGAGTTTTCCTGGGCATGGTAAATATTTTCACAATTTATTTGGACTTGGACATAGCTTGCTAAACATTTTTCAAAAAATTTTTAATTTTAAATATGGGCTAGAAATTGGCCTGAAAATTTTTGAAGACATGGCCAGGCCTGATCACAAACCAAGGCCCATGCAACTTTCATATTCTGATTGTATTTTTAAATGCATTGTGACTTTTTATATATTTTATTTCAGTTCTCAATTACCAATATTATTATGGTCATTTGCGAGTTTGAGGAAATTTTCTCAAGTGTGAGGACCTGGCTTGGGAATTTTTTTAATATAAGGCATAGGTGTAATATTTAACACAGAATATATATGGCCCTCAGATAAAAGCTAATTTAAATATATTTTAATTCAAAAAAATAGTATTAGTCTTAGTGGGTTGGCCTTGGTCTGGGTGAGCTGGGTTAAAATAGTATAAAAAAATAGATATGGTTTTTAGAGATTTACCTATCTACAGGTTTGGGAAAAAATTTTAAAAATTACTATGGGTTGGCCAGGTTTTATAATAATTTTTTTATAAAATTATCATGTGTTGGGCTGGGCTGGGCTTGGAAAATATTTTTATATTGGGCTGGGCGTGGGGAAAATTTTTCAAAATTATTATGAGCTTAGACGCTTGATAATTTTTTTACTATTAATTATGGGACAGACATTGACCTAAAACACCAAGGCCCATGAAAATCTGATTTTAATTGTATTTTTAAATTCATTATGAATATTATTTCAGTTCTCAACTACCACAATTATTATGATCTTTCACTGGGCTTGGAAGTTTTTCAATATTATGGCTTTTAACTTTGCCTGGGAATTTTATTTAATATTAAATATTAGGTATAAGTGATCAGTAATACCAATAAATAATATTGGTATTATCAAGTAAAAGCTTTAAATTTATTCTTACTCAAACAATAGTATTTACACTTAGTTTTAATGGATTGAACCCGACCTGAAGGGGGCAGGAGGTAAAAAGAATAATAATTGGATATTATTTTCAAATAACAGGTAACATCTAGTATAAAAGTAAGAAAATCTCATTCCCCGTCATTTTTGACGGGCTATCTACTAGTAATATTATAATTAAGAAACATTTAAAATATAAAATAGAATATATAAAATATTAATACGTGCATCGAATAAAATTAAAACAATAATTAATGGCAAAAATTCATAAAAAAGGGCGGGATAATATAGCTATCCATACTAGCCTTTTATAATTATAATAATTTAAAAAAACTAATTTACACTCTTGACCTTATAGTTATAATTTATAATCATAATTCTAATAATGGATTAATTTTAAATATTACATTACAACAGGCCCTATTATACTAAATAAATATAATTAATAATGTAATATCCTATTATGGATTAAAATTATATATTACATTTTAAACTTACATAATAATATGATTAAATATTAAGAATTGTTATATAAGAAGGAATTTGGAATCGAATTCAACAAAAAATTCTATTTTTTTTTTAAATAAGGAGCAGCCCTTATATTAAATCTATCAGCAATTTTTCTCTTAAAAGGCGGCTCTTCGTCGATAACGTACCACGGTTCGTTTTCAGTACCATACCATGTAAGCGCAAGAATTGTATTGGCCCCTTCCCTACCAGCTTGCATTAAACCGGTGCCTCTATCCTCCACCAGGTAGTTATTTTAAGAATAGTGTTAGACAAGAATTATAGATATTTATTAAAGTGGTTGAAAATAATTATTATGACAATTTATTAATATATATCTTTTTGTAAAAGTGTTAATTGGATATAAAAAACATTTGAATATTATTTCAACAAGAAAATAAATTAACTTTTACAATTATCGATACTATAAATATATGATTGATAGCCGTAAAACAATATACAGATAATATAATATTATAAATAAAAGACCATTAAAATATAAAGTACGATATATATATATATTATTACTAAACAAATGAATAATACATCATTTCAACCAAATAAATTGCCTTGTAGAATATTAAAAAAAAAAATTAATTTCCGCAAAACAATGATCCGTAATAGACCAGGCTTAACTAGGGTCCTTAAGAGTTAAGAAGTTTGCCTCTTTTATTACTGTTTCCCTTTCGATTATTAAAAATTATTATTTTATTTATGCATAAAACAAACGTAAAAATGCCTTTCATTTCCAGCACAAAAGTATCAAATATTAATTTTAATATAAAAATTTATAAAAAAGCACATAATATGTAAACTAAAAATGAATTTATAGGCCTATCCTAGAATTAAGGAATGTATAAAGTAAATTTATTAGGATAATATAACAGACCAATTTTAAAAGTTTATGCATCTAGTTCAAATGAAACCTTATTCATAAAGTTAACTATCTTTTCAATAAATCTATTTATAGTCAATATTATTACAATCGATATATTGTACCATTTACACAGATATTAAGCTTCATAAGTTGTGTAAACTTTTTTAATAATTGCATATATTGATAAATAACAAAATATAAGGTTAAATATTATTGTTATATTTTCTGAATTAGTGAGGATTAGCTTTAAATATTATTTTATTTTCATTGTGTGCACTCATTCCTATTTTTTAACCAATAGCATCGATGTAATTTTTTTTTAAGTTTAAAAAATTTCCCAACAGTATAAAAATGGCAAATCTTGAAAATATAGAAGAGAATGACTTTGATGAAATGGAAGATATAATTAGAAGTCTGGGAACAGACTTTGATGAAGAATATTTTAAAAAGGAAAATGAAATTCGACAAAGTTTACTTAGCAATGCAATAAACGTTTATCTAAGGATTAGACCAAATAAACGTTCAGAAAATGAAAAAGAGGTACATAAATTAATCAAATTATATCTCACTATTTCATAATAGTTTCCCTTTAAAATCGAAGATGATAATTCAATTACTTTAGGATCTCATCAGACCAAAAGCTATAAATTTTTTTACACTAAAATATTTTCTGAAAGCTCAAATCAGAAAGATGTTTTCGAAATTTGCATGTCCAAAAGCATACAAAATTTTATATTATATGAAAAATCTTTTCTCCTCTTTACATATGGAATAACCAATTCAGGGAAAACATATACAATGCAAGGTAATTTTTTATATTTTTATTAAATACATTGATATTCTTTTATATATGTAATAGATATATCCAATTTTTATACAATCACAATGAATTTTATTTGGAAATATAATTTCTATTAAATTTAAGTTTTTTAAAAATATTAAAGATGATACATATTTATTGCATAGCTCAGTTTTGTTATATACGAGGTTATAATAAGACTTTGTCTTATCTTTGTATACAATTTTACATAATTTAACTTTTAAGCAATTTATAAAATTTTTGTTAAGCACCTTTAAATCAAAGTAAGATGCTTAAAAAACAATTAATTAATATATTACAGCAATTTTATTTTATAGCCTTAATCCAAGTTTGCATTATTTATAGCTTATTTGGTATGGGAAACAACAGACCTGCACATTAACTCTCTCCCATCTAATTGTGTAAAAAAACAGCAAAAACAATTTTTTAGGAGGCTGAGACACCTTGCTTAAATGTCTGCATAAGTATTTTTAATTTTGAGGGTTATGAGGGAAAACCCATAGACTACAAATCAAAGTTTGTTTTATTAAAATGGGAGCAAAGTTTGGAGAAAATTTATTTTAAATTGTTATTTGGTGTTGCCTGATGTGAGGACTATAATTGGGTAATGGCTAAATGTCAGCTAATTTGGCTCAATCTTCAGGCTTCTGTCAGAGAAGATCTGTTAACATTAAGGCTTTTTAATTTATATTAGTTTCTTTCAGATTTGAGCAGCTATCATTTTAAGAAAAACCCAATTAACCAATTTTTTATTGGCTTCTAAAAATATAGTTTTTTCAACAGATTAGTCATTAGATTCACTAATTACTTTGATGATCTATTGAGTGTGGAATTGAAAATATAAAATTGCATTTCTCTATATGTCAAATTTATTTTTTGAAATAATCCATCCATTTTCCTTAGCATATCGTTTTTTAAATTAAATCAGATTAACTTTGTGACCTATGTAAAAATGAATTATCAAAAATTAAGGAAACTGCCAAATGTAGTTAGTTACATTATTTCTGATTCTACGAAAAGTATCATTGAGGACATTAATGTTTCATTATCGAAGAATTGGAAATACCCAAAAGAAAAGGAAATGGATTACAAGTAAAAGATAAATTTTACACAATAACTGGCACACAAAAGATACATTTTCACTAGGTCTGAGAAGAAACCAAAAATTATTCAAATGTTCACCAAGGTAAAGTGGAAAATATTACTTATTTATATGAGATTTAAGATGAATAATATTAATGGCTATGCAACTTCTTTGTATAATAATCTTTTGGGTTGTAGATAAAATGAAATGGTCAAAAAAGTGCAAGCTAGTTTTCTACATCCACATGGACCATCTCCATCCTTCATTTTTTAACCTAATGAAGATAAATGATATTATTTCCTGATTATTCTATATTTTATATCTGTTTTTCCAATTTAAGAATGCTCCTTTTTTTTATCTATAATCCACTATATCTCCAGAACTCATTAATTTGATTTTAAAGAGGTCCACAAAAATAGCCACTTCTTTGATCGATGTCATGAAATGTTCCTGTAGATACCAAAGACCAACTTTGTTCCTTAATACCAACTGCAAATAAAAAAATTGGCTTCCTTTTTGGACCAATAAATACTGCTCAGCAACTTTAAAAGGGATGCAAAGTCCAATTTCGCCATGTATTTTTGGGCTGGATTTTTTTTGCCTGAAAAAATTTGACTCGACTTTGGTTAAATGTTTGCAAAATATATGACACTTTGACAAACAAAGTATACATTTAGCAGAAGATAGCAGTACATGCCATGAAAGAACACTTAAAAGATCGAATCAGCGTAATTGTCAAGTTTTCCACTTTTGGACAAGGTGTAAGATGATTTTCTGTTACCTGTCCCAAAAATTATGTGCCGAATTGTAACATTAACTATGAATAGAACAGATCTGATTTTTTTAAAATATTTATTATAAGACTAAGTTAATGGTAAACAGACTTAGGTGGTATGGGCACACAATGAGAAGGCCTATGAACTACATAGGAAATAAGGTTAAGAGTTTGGAAGTGATGGGCAAACGTAAAAGAGGAAGGCAAAAGCTTCAATGGGGCCATAAAATTAGAGCCATTATAAAGAAGTATAAATTAGATAAAAGAGATTGTATGAATAACATAAAGTGGAGAGAGATGTTAAAGGAGCTTACCACCAGAAAAGGTGAAAGCGAAAGAGAAAAAAAATTATCCTTCATGCTAAATAAAAGCTTTAGATCCAATTATTATCTTGGAAATTGATTGATAAATGAAACATGGGTTAATTTGACCTGGGTTAAATATTAAAACTCTTGCAACATAAAATATTTTTTTTTGAAACAGGTAACATGTGTAGTATTGGATTGTTACCGAGATTTTTGGCCACACTTTTTATGATGCTCAAAGATAATCTGCTGGACATTCAAAAGATGAGTAACAGCAATGTAATGATCTTTTATATTTGATTTCATAATAAATTTTTTTCTTTTATATACAATTTATTTTATTTTGGGGACATGGAACATAACAATCCGGACACACTCCGGAAAATTTTAGGTAAATCTTTGGAAGGAATTTTCTGATAATTAATTTATATTTATTTTTATAAAATGCCTAGAAAGATTAACGAATAAAATTTGTATATTATTAAACAAAATAGAAATAGATATATTTTTTTTCAAGAACGCGTTACGAAACATGGAATGGAACATATGTTTTTTTTGGAGAACAGAACATGAAACACATCTATTTCATGTTGTTAAACGACTCGATTTGAGCTGATTTAAAAATGGCTAACTCAGTATTTTATCCAGAAAAATATTACACAAGCCGGTTACTCATAGATGGCCACAAAGTTTGGAAATTTATTAGCGAAATCTTAAGATTAAGGCTACAATATTGAGTTAGCCATTTTTTAAAATCCTCTTAGAACACTAGTCCCTGATTTTGTTATCCTGTTCCGTTAGGGATTGATATTTTAAAAGTTTGTATAGCTTAAGCCCGGTATATTCAAAAGCATACGAATGATAATATTTGCTATTTGTATTCGATTGAATAATTTACTATTCGTACGAATGATAATATTCGTATTCGATCGAATAATATACTATTCGTGCGAATGATAATATTTGCTATTCGTATTTAATTAGAATGATTCGTTTTTTAAAAAAAAATAAAATATAAAAATAATTCATACAATACAGTTTTTTTTATTAACAAGATGTAATTTTTAAAAGAAAAATATTGTAATAATTTGACGATAAGAAAGAAAGAAAGAAATTTTATCTTTTAAACATTTGAAAATTTCTATTTAATTTATAATTTTATTCAATTATGATAATTACCTAAACATTAAATAAGAAATCTATTAATTTGGCTTATGTAATACATAAATATTGATGAAATATACGTAAATATTTATAAATGGCTAAGTATTACATAATATCGCTTTTGCAAATTGTTTGGTAGGTGGTTTAATTAAATCTTAATTGATAGCCCATCTCCAAATGTGGTAGTACATATGATTATATAAATTGGTAAAATCTTAAGGAAAAAATTGATGCATTTTAATTATTTACTACTATAATGTTCCCTTATGTTTGGTTTGGGAATTAAAAACCTATATTTGTTTTTGAAAACCCCTGAGAATTTTATTCAATTATGGTAAATATGGAGGGGAAGGAATATACCCTATTCTCCCTTTATATGCATCAATAAGATTACTTATATGTATTGATCCAATACATAACCATAATAGCATCAGGCTGTAAAATACAAATATCACTAAATAATATAAACCATTATATTATTACTTCGATGATTTTATAAATAAAAAACACCAATTCCTATGTAACAAAGTCATGCATACCTTTTTCTTCCTTTTGATGATGGGATTGTTACTTCTTTAACCTCACAAGGTACAGATGGTCCGTTTCATCTCAAAAAAAAATTTCCCTCGGGATGTTTAGAATTTTAAATGTAATACACCTGTCTATTGATTGTTCAGCTGGGACTTTTCCTCTATCCGGTTTTTTACTAAACTCTTTTTTTGTACCACCGTAGATATTTAATGGCTTTTCTGATTATTCCTATAAAAAAATTTTGGGCGAACCGGAAGTTAAATTCAGAATAATATCTTTGATTGTAAATATATATTGTTAATCATGAACAGATCTACAATTTATCGATGCTTGAGGTATCTTCATTTTTTAAATCTTTCTTTCCCCTTTGTTTAATGTTAAATTCTTTTAGTGGGTCGCCAATAATTTCTGACAATGTATCTCCTCGCCTTATTTCGCGAAACAGACACGCGCTTTCCACATTATAACATATTTTGCTATCGATTATCCTTAATTTTCTTTTGTTTCATTTTTCTGGCAAAGAATAAAGTTTTATTTTTCATTAAACAGTTCTTTATTCCAACAGTTGTATATATTCTTTTTAAGTCTCGAAATAATTGTGATTGAGAATTTCAATTTACATATAAGTTAAAACTAACGAATAAATTATCATTTTATTTGTTGGAAATAAATGAAGATGATTGATAATTTTGAAATCTCATATTCTCATCTGAGAGAGGCAAAGAAAAATTTATATTTCTTGGAATACTTGGGAGTGAAGGGAGGTTTGTAAAATATGTAATCATATCTTATATTAAGAAATTATAAAATTAAATGATATGAGAAGATTACTAATGTATATATATGGCTATATGCGATTTTTTTTGCAGAAAATTAGTTCCAACTACCAAAAGCCTTTCACAAGCAGTTGATGAATAACCTTGTTAGCCACATCAGCTGTTAGATTGATAGGTTATCAAATAGAAATGATTAAATTTTTATTAGTTAATAATTTGTCGAATATACTATTTATTCGAATCGAATATTTTAATTATTCGAATCGAATATTTTAATTATTCGAATCGAATATAATTAATCGAATCGAATATTCTAGTTCGAATCGAATATTCCAATTATTTGAATCGAATATTCTATTCTATGCAAACATTCGATAAAAAGTTATTTATGATTCAAAAAATATATAAATAAATTTTAAAAAAAATTTCATAAAAATCAACTCTTATTTATAAATATATAATTTACGATAATTTTTTTCTATTTAGGGAAATTTACTCTCCAGCGTGGATACCTATCAAAGATTCGATACCATTTGCAACGCTAGTGACGTGGCAGGTTTCCTATATTATATGTTTATTGAATGAAATAAATTATAGAAAAAATTATATTTATATTATTGCAATCTAGTGTGTTAAACAGCAATATTTTAGCCAGAAAAATAATGCATAAGCCTCAAGATTTCGATAATATACGTCTAAACCTTTGTTCCTTTTATGAGCAAAATCTTCAGGCTTAGGAAATATTTTTCTGGATGAAGAATTGAGTTAGCCGTTTTTAAAAATCGGCTCAAAACGAGCCGTCTAATAACACTATTGCAATCACATAATTTAAATGCCGAATACAGCCAATATTTAATGCTAATTCTATAATATTTGCTTTCAAAATAAAATTCGTATGTCACAGTTTTTTTTTACCAACTTAAAATTACAAAAATATTATATAATTTATCAACACCTAAGATACTTATACTGTCGGTATCAGAAAAAAATATATTTTCCAAATGTATCAAATATATATAAGATCATCAATTTTTTTTAAAAATTATTTCTATAAATTTTCTGGCATTCGAAACCGACTCCAATCAAATTATTTTCGATCTTTGGTCAGCATTAATTCTTTTTAGATTTAATTAAGATTTTTTTTTATAAAAAAAATGAAGATACTACCAATCCTCGAATATTGGATCTGATTATGAACGAGATACATCCTCTGCCGCATTTACCTCAAGATAACTCTTGCCCCCTCGCCGATTTCCTCTTCTACTTTTCCATTTCCTTTGTCGAGGTTTATAACGAAAATATATTCGATTTGCTCGATGAGGATTTCTCGCTAAACGCCAAAAAATATTCCCACGACAATAATAAGAAAATGAGGGTTCTACGCAACCATAACAAGGGAGCTGGCAACTTCGCGGAGAGCAAAATTTCCACCGGAAGTTCCGTGTACGGAAGTAGCCTCGAAAATTATTCCATGGCGAGCAAGTGCCACAGCAATAACGGTGGCGTTTTTCAAAAACGCCGCGCTTTGAAAATAGGGGAAGATAGAGACCGAGACGTTTATATCAAAAGTTTTTAAACGATAATATCTAACTTCAAGAAATTTTTTTTAAAAAAAGATAATAAAATGGCCGTCAATTGTTTTTAAAAATATTTTTTGAAGCTGTCTTCTCCCTAGTTCCCGCAGGCAATATCCATTGCCTAGATATATACCCCCCCCCCCTCAAATATTTACGCGAATTTTCTTTAAGAGTGAAATAAGCCCAAATGTGGATAAAGGAGTCTTATTTTTTAACAATTTTTTAATGAGTGAATGAAACCAAGTACACAAATTCAGTAAATACCCAACTATTTTAAAAAGAGGGTTACCCTTCTCCCCCTCCATCCACATTTATATATAAACCTGAACTCTTTCCATTTTATAACATCAATTGGACTCGTTCTAGCTTGGTTAAATTTTTAGAATAGAGCTCTTTTCACCCAATTCTTAATTGATAAGCAATGTATATATTTTGATATTTATTATTTACTAATAAAAAAAATTATAAATAAAATTTTTTGCCGAAAATTTTAATTAAATTATTATTTGAATAAAATTTAAAGAAATATATTGCTATTCGCATAATTTTAAATGGAAATTCTAAATTTATGTATAGTTTGCTAAATTTTTTTAAATCTAAATTTAACCTCAAATTCAATTATAAATGATTAGAAATAAATTATGAAACATTGGAAAATGAAGGCCATATTCTATTGGTAAAAATTATGCAAGATTGCTTGATATTATTTGCAATTTATTTTGGTTATAATTATAAAATCAATTTTTGGCAACTAATTTTCAGTTATTTTTTAAAAAATTTTGAACTCAATTTTTGTTTGTAATATTGTATATTTTCAATTCTTTTTTTTCTTTGCATAATTTTTTAATACTATTTTAATTTAAATATTTTCCTCAATTCTAACTCAATTTTTTTATAAATAATTTTTAATTTAATATTTTATGATTTTCTTATATTCATTAACGGTATTCTTTTTTTGATTTTCCCTAATTTTTTTAACCCGAATATTAAAAGTTATTATTTTAAATAAACATGTGGATATTTGAGCCTAATCACCTGTTCTGGCACAACGCACTTCATAAATGGAGCTGGAGAGGGGGCCATCAATAACTTGAACTCACCTTGGCAAAATTAACCTAATTTCGCCTAGCATCATATACCCATTACACATTAAAATCACAGCTGTTGCAAAATATTTTACAAAATGGCGTTCATTTTACCCTGGCAATGATAAGGTGCGACGGCATTATAAACATTGCTAATTTATAAGTTATGGGTGGGGGAAGAGTAATAAAACAAGTTTAAAAAAAACACGAAAAGGTAATAGTTTATATATAATAAAAATGACAAAGACCGACCTGGTTCTTTAATATAACCCTGCATTCATAGCACGAATCCATGTGCAAATATAAAAAATATGCTCTATTTTTGTATACTTCACTGCGAATTCACGCCAACTGTGAAAGCAGGGTATTATAAGTTTGAGACATGTTACTGGTTGTAATTTCTTTTTTCCCACACTTTTTTTATTAATATTTTAACAAAATCGGGGTGGGGGCGGGAGTAAATGACATATAACCTAGACTGAAGATGCAAAGGCGTTTAAAAGCGTCGTTGAATGCAAATCAGCTGGAACCGCCATTTTGGCAACCTATATAGAATTATTCTCATGTTAAAAACTACTATTAAATTGATGTCTCCTTATCATCTCGAGATCGGGCAATTCGTTAATAAAGTTTGCTTCAAACAGGAATAAATGCTTCTCGTTTAATTTTTTAATAATGATATTGGATATAAAAATGACGTCCCCAGCTGTTTTCATTGATGTCCATGTCAGTCTATGTATTATTTTATGTCATTGGAGGGGGTATATATAATCAATTGGAGGAAACTCGTTTTAATAAATTTTAAGCGGGTGTTCAAATGTAAATATAAAAGCAAAAAAATTATATTTTTGAATAATTCAAAAAAAAAACTCTCATTCACCATTTTTATTTAATAATTTCTATGCAATTGACTCAAAAATATATTAATTTATGTTACTTCATTCGAAACCAAAATTTTTAATTTTTGAAGATTTAACCGTTATAAACGTGTCTAGTCTAAGCCAGGTATTATTTTATCTGGAAACGGGCAAAAGAAATCTCAAGATGGCTTCAACTTTACTCAATTACAATTCGAGTAGAAGGTAATCGCTCAAATTATTTACGATTTATACTGGAGATGTGTGGGTCCTACGGACTGAAGTGTGCCTTAGTTGTCAGTGATTATTAGAAATCTTAATTTTTGAGTATAAGGGCGCTAAGGATTTGATTGGTCACATAGTTTTTAAAAAATTCGGGATTAGGGCTCAGTTAGCAGTGATAAATTTATATCTGATACATCTCTACAAATCATTTTATTTTATTGCAATAATCATTTGGATGACAATAGAACTAGAGGTTGGCATGGCCCGAACCAGTCTGGGGAGATTTTTTATCCGGGGTTTTTGACATGTCTTGTAATCATTTTTCCCATCCCATATAAAGTATTTTGTACAAGTCATCTGTCAGGGCAGACGACATAAATTTTCCTAATTATCAGCTTTAAAGACATTTTTAGAAATTTTAAACCTGCCCCGTTAAATTATTTTCCCGTCTCATTTTTTTAGCAATATTCTTCGTTCATAAATAATTATATTGCCTCTTATGTTTTAATTCTTTTTAAAAAATATTTGTACTTTTTTTCAACGAAATTAAAAAATATAGTCATTCGATATTCACCATCAAATTGCATCGATGTTCGAGGAGGAATCTAAACATTATCCATACCAATGAGTAACATACAATATTTGTTTCTAAAGTTCATTTTTTCCCCTTTTTTATTCTCTAATTTAACAACACAACACTCTTTAAGTAAGCCACACAGAAGGGTGGGAATATGATACAAATATATTGTTAATTAAGAAATTAGGGTTTTACTAAATATCAAATTTTTCTAATATAGAAAATTTTTTGTAAATATGTGTAAAAATCTTAATTTGGGTGCAAAATAAACCCTTTAATTTGTTAAACCTGCTTAAAAACCGAATTTGTAATATAATTTGAAACAGATTTACATTTTGCGATTTAGCCGGGGCAGAAAGGACCGTTAAAACTGGTAACGTTGGCGATAGGCTTTTCGAGGCTAGAAATATCAATTCTTCACTGCTAACGTTATCAAAATGCTTGCAAATTATCAAACACAATGAATTGCACAAGTAATATCTTTTATATTAACACACATTTGACATTAATAATAAAAACCCGGAAATTATGGCCTGACAACGTGAGACAATTTCTATCTGAAAAGTTTAAGGACTTATGCAATAACTGGGGAATAAAACACATAACAAGTCCACCCCAAGATCAATGGTCTAGCGAAAAGGATGTCATAACATTAAAATTAAGATGCAATGTGGAATCATAGAGAATTGGGTCTACTCCAGATTCTGATGATATAGGAACACTCCACATTCGACGACAAAAAAATGACCTGCTCCCATAGATCGTTAATTTAAACTACTATTGTGGCTTTGTTAATTAGAACCTAATATTATTAATAGAGTTGATTTTGTTAAAACATATTTTAGCGTAAATGTCCTTTATTTCCATGCATATGACAAACAACATATTGGGCTTTACAACCAAAATTATTGTGTGAGAATTATAATAATTCTTCCTATTATTATTAAGATTATTAAATTTATTGACGGCAAAGCTAGACCTGATATGTCATCAGAATCTGAAGTAGACCCAATTCCCTATCATTATTTTGCTATAGTGTGTCCACGCATAGTATTTTGAATTTAATGTTCTGATCATCCTTTCCTCCATAACATTCGTCTTGGGGTGGTAAGGTGTACTTGTTATATGTTTTTTTCCTCATGCAGAAGTTTTCAAAGTACTTAAAACCAGGGTTGGCAAGTCGGTCAATTGACCAGTCAAATTCAGTCAATTGACGGGTCAATTGACCGGAGGAGTATTTGACCTGTCAAATACGGTCAAATACTCTAAAAAATTTAAAGGAAGAATAAATTGAAAATATGTTTAAAAAAGGGAAAAAAGATGTAAATACATGTGATCACAATGTTTGCTTATTTTTTGTGTTCACAATATCAAGAGGAGAACTCACAAGTATGTGATATAATTCAAGAATTAGCTCTTTTACAAGATAGTACCAAAATATTTTAAGTGATATAATTAATTTCAGAAGCAAAAACAGCATGTTTAATATAGCAAATTATGCGGAAAGTATAATTTCCAGAAACAATCAATTCCGACCTCTAGTTAATAGATTAAAATTTGTCCACCCTGCCCATTAAGAGACTAACAATTCCTAGTTCTACTTCTTCTTTAGAAAGAAATAGGTCGATTAGGGTTAATATTCTTATGAAAATGGAAATCGATTGAAGATCTAAGACATCAGGAAAATTGATTAAAAAATATTAAAGAAAATGATAATATTGAAAATGAATCAGAACAAGAACTCCGCTACAATAGCTACACGTTAGTTATTGAATGACAATGAATTTAAAAAATTAATATTATAGATTTTATTTTACTATTATATTCAAAATAAAGTTAATATTAACTTTAAAAAACATATATTTGAATTTGACCATATTTGACCGGTCAAATGCACAACCCTGCTTAAAACATATAACTCAATTTCGATCTGTTGTTCGTAGTTTTTTTTTTACTCTGCCCATATATAATATCCTTGTTTATTTATTACTAACACATATGGTAAACAACATACATAGAATGCACGCGTTTATTGAATACAATATATATATATCAATCCTATATAAATATTTTTCACTATACAATATTTAAATATTATTGTTGAGATTTGGAAGAATACAGTATTGAGAAATTGATTTATCGGAAAAAAATGCATTTCTCAATAATATACTCAGCCGACTACTTTGGTGCGAATTCACTCGCTGCCAAGTATTCGAAAGTACCTCATATTTTGTAGACTTTGTCCGAATTCGCGCTGAATGCAGGGAAAAGTGATATATTTATAATAATTTATTTTAAACCAATTCATTAATAATAATAAAAAGGGACCATCCTAAATTGATCCCATTCAGGGAAAGCAAACTGACCCGTCTGTTTCAGAACTATTTTCTGAGAGCAAACTCGAAAATTTCTATGATCGTTAACATAAGCAAAAATGAAGGGATGTATCCTGAAACGCTTCATTCCTTAAAATTCTCCGCTCTCGCCAAAAAAGTTACTTATTTACACGCATATATTTTTGGTATCAACTTCAGTTCTTACGTGAAAGGGGGTGGGGAAATTGGTATTCATTTTTGTTACACAAATTAGATGATCTTTGGGCTGAAATGAGGCGTGTAAATTTACATATACGATTAAATATTTAGTTTGCTGTTAATGCACAAAGTAGTTTTCCCCTGATACACCAGACTTATTTACTTTTTCGAAAATGTTGGTTTTTTAAGCCTAAGACACTTATTTAAGTGATATCGAATAAATAGTTATCATCTTCAGCGTCTTTACATACCCATCAGATTTTATTTGATGAATTCTGTCAAAAATGTCTTACACATGAATACTAAATGAATAAATTACAACGGATAAAAATACCCCAATTTTAGAAAGAAAATTTGAATTCAAAATATGAAAGATGATTAAAAAAAATAAGAGTGGGCGGATATAGGTTTACCAGTTCCTAGAAAATTTTGAGAGATTTTTGGCTCTTTAATCTTCGATTTATATATTCAAGTTTCCATTGGTGCTATTCTAATTGATAAATTTAAGAACAGCTGATATTTTTTTGAGTAAATTTTTTTAAATATATCAATGGATATTTTTATTTTTTTAAAAAATAGATTGTTTTAAACAACTTAAAATCCTTCTCTTCTCACCATCGGCACCAATATTTCACTAATATAGACCACGCGGAACAAATGGTCGATTCAAATAATCAGCATGTTATCGTCATTTCGAAAGACCTCATTACAGACGACGGAAAAATTTTGTACGATATTAAGGGGAATGCGTATGATATCCGACATTTTGAGGATAGTTATGAAAAAGTTTTTTTTAAAACTAATATTATTATTTTTTTCTCTTTAATTTTGATTTATTTAAAAAGTTTATATTTATTATATAAAACAAATTATAAAATAATATACTATTAAGAAAACACATATTGTAATGTATATAAAAAACTAGATTAAAAAAAATATATATGAAAATTCCAAAATCAAATAACATAAATTTGAATTAAAAATCAAATGTATATATATAATGAATATATGAACGTATAAAAAAGTCTATATTAAAATGCGACAAAAGGAATATGAATAAAAAAAAAATTTAAAAACACCAATGAAGAACGGGGATGGTATAATGAGAGGAAAAAAAGGATTTAGGATGGCTCTTTGGCTATTAGACTACCATTGAAGCAGTAATTGGCTTTAAGGATTGCTATGGCGAGCCTTTGTCGAAGAAAAAAACCCTCTTGATGTTCTTCCGAATGTTTGCTGATTTGAGATCCTAAATTTTTGAAGAAAGCTAAGGCAAGTTTGCGAGGTGGCAAGTGTGGTTGAAATAATTGGAATGAAACATTGGTCATTAGTAATTTCTGTGTATTTCGAGGTTTTAAGCTGTTCCTTCTGGTCAATGATGTTGAGTGTCTGGTTAGATGGGGCAAGGGGGTCAATACAAGAAAATATTTTTATTTTAAAAAATTACCATACAAAAGCCAGAAGTTTTTTAAATTTAAACCCACACTCCTTATTATGTATATTTAATAATTTATAGGCGATATCGTAATTGGTGTTAAAATGTTATTTTTAGTTTCATGAAAGTTCTAAAACTTTAATTTACATTTAACAATATAGCTTCCTTATTGGAAGGAGAGGGAATAGTTATTAATTAATATGTTCCCTTAAGTTGGCCCTATTGGAATTTTAAAAAATATATAGGCAGGATTGATTTGTGCCATCACCATATTTGAATTATTCCAGTTTAAAAAGATTAGCTCTTCGAAAAAGATGAAATCTTATTTTAACCGGAAATAAGAGGGACTCATTTGTCATTTTATATTAATATCTCAGAAAATTGTTAAAGAAATGAAAGACAACCTCATGACACTATCCCCGCCAAATTAGATTTAAGTTTAGAGAAGAAAAAAAAGTTATGTAGTTTGGTAACAAATGATTTACCGTTTCTGTTAAGTTTGAACGCTTACCACTTTGATTTGTTCAAATTTAACGATAGGTACCTCAACTATATGAGGCGAATTTTTAGAAATTAAATAAGATATAAATTAGAGATGCATGGGGTCCTTACCGGTATTAGAGAGGATCTATTTTTTTTATTATTATTTACTTGTTTATTTTCAATAGCAATCAAATTTCTGACTGGTATTTGTTTTATATAAGTCTTACTCCAGATTTGTTAGTTGAAGTAGTTCAATTATGGGAGTCTGGAAAGACTCGCTAAGCTATTTAGGAATTTTGTTGTGATTATCATTGAGAAGATAAATTATATTTTTTTAGACTATATTTAAAGTTATTACTTGATTTTGATATAAGCATAAGATTTTTTTATAAAACAATATAATTAACTTTTAAGGTTGAATTAATTATTATGTTAAAGTAGACATTTTATCATTTTTTTGAGTAGTAGGACATACATTATGGATCTTTAATAAAAAATTGGCCGAAAGTTATCCAATTTAATCTTCAGAGAATACAAATTTAAATACAACTACATTATTTTTTAATTAATTAAAAAAATTTACATAATATTATCAGCAAATTAATAAATATTGAAATTTTAAAATGCATATACAAAAAAAATTGTTAATGACCCTAATAATGAATGAAGCGTGTCTGATATAACCTAAAAGTCCCATCCATTGTAAAATGATTACACCATTTTAAAATAATTAATAGATTTTTGATATTAATTTTTTATTTAGAAAACCTTTCTTAATAACAAACATGGATTGTTTAATATATGTAATAATAATTACAGGAAATCCAGGTACTTAAGCAGAAGATTCTACAGAAGGAATATGAAGTTAGGAAAGAGGTGGAATCAGTATATCTAAATTGGCACAACAACGAGCTTAAAAACTGGACGTAATATAACTACATATTTTTTTGGTTAATTAATTCTCTTGTAAATAAATATATGCATCAGATTTAGCAATGACATTTAATTACTATTCTGACTGATAATTCCATCATTTTAAATGCGTATGAATACAAATCATCTGGTGGCATGCCATCGAGTTTTTTATTTATTAAATTACAATTCAAAATGGCGCGACATCAGCCGATTTGTATTCAATGGCGCATCAGTCTAATGGTGAATAGATTTTAATTCAAAGATCCTTGCCTTGGAAAATTAATTAATAAATAGTTTGTCTTTTATTTTTAATGTTTAGTATATAATATTCATTCAAAAAAATTATCCATGGCTATATTACAGAGAGTTTTACAAGAAGAAATGTTACAGGACAACTGATACATTCCTGATGAAGATAGAGGCACTTAAGGATTCTCTAGATGTAAGAGTATAAATATCATATTTAAAAAAAAATATAAACTTGCTTATTTATAAATATTCAATCTATATTCTTATTTTTCACAGTTCCTCTTATAACTTGTGATACTAATATATACATATTTTTTTGGCTATAATCTACCTATATGCTTATATTTTAAAAAGCTTACTCCAATTAGTGAAGATTATACTCCGGACCGAAAACCGGCATCAAAAAACCGGACCGGTTTTTTTAAAAATGTAAAACCTCCATTTAAATCTGGAACCAAAAAAAATTAAGAACCATCAAATATTTTTTATTATAATACATCTTATAGGTAATTAAAATAGTTAAGCAAACGACTTAAGAGGTCAAGAATTGATATAATAAGGAGATGGCTTTTATTATTAAGAATATATTTAAGCCGTTTTGAGATTTTATTTTGACAAAGAAAATAGTTAAAATAGGAAAACCTTTATTATTATACCCTATTTAAATTTGATTTAATAAATAAAATAGTAATTGCAAAAATATTTAATATTATTATGAAGTAAATATCCTATTAAATTAATTTTTTTTTATAAATATAATTCCAAAGACATTTATTAAATATTTAAAAGAATACTTAGAAATCCCATAAAATATTTATGCCCTATTTAAATTTGATTTAATAAATAAAATAATAATTGCAAAAATATTTAATATTATTATGAAGTATATATCCTATTAAATTAATTTTTTTTATAAATATAATTCCAAAGACATTTATTAAATATTTAAAAGATTGCTTAGAAATCCCATAAAATATTTTAAAAAAAATTAACGGCCCAAATTCTAAAGAAGGGGTTGAATAGCGTTTTTTTAAATCGGTCTCACCACGTTCATTTCTGAATCTGAGTTTGTTTGAGAAATGCTTATAAGTAACACAAAAATAATTATATCACGTGTCCTTCGCCATTTTTTAAAATTAAAATTGGGACATTGAACATAACCATTAAATGCTTCATGGCCATGTTAGCCGAAACCTTATGTAGATAAGGATTTGTTTGTATTAATCGGCTATATAGTATTTTACTTAGGAAACTAAACAGTATTTATTTATCTGTATTATGGAATTAATACATGTTTATTACTTAACATTAAATGCACAATTGAACTGACTACCAATTTTATATTAACACAAAATTTTCAAGCTACCGAAATTTATATACTTAAATAAATTAAAATATTAAAATTTTTGCTTTTATAAATAAATAAATATTTTAAAAAAATCTATATTTCATTTACATCTTTACTGCTATTTTAATAAAATAAATTATCATAAATTTATTAAAAATAATAATTTTTGCTTACTCTAATAAGTAGGACAAATAGTTATCTGATTCTAGGGGTTAATACATATTTTAAAAATAATATTTCAATACCTACCAACTTCTTGCCCTATTTTATGTATATTTTACATGTTTTAATTTTCTATATCTTATATTTTTTTAAATTTATAAATAAACGTTTTCTAAAATAAAAATATCTAGAAAAGTACCATTGTCGTTGATCATCTCAAGAAAATGATAGGCCTTCCAAAGTTTAATACCCTCATAAGATATTTGGATAAAGAAGAATTGACTGCCCAAGAGATTAAAATGCTGGATCTGGATTCGGATGATCATCAGCAAATGCATAAAGAAGATGAAATATCATTATATGGAGCTGTTCCCAAATCTGCTTTCAAAGTGGTCCAAAACAATAAAAATGTTAAAGGAGACGATATCATGCTTTCGCCATCATTTGATAATTTTAACCATAATCAGCACTTAACAATGCTTAGTTCTACCATGTTTTCCCCGATTCTGTGTATAAAACCTATTAAGGTTATTATTTAAAGATTTTTAAAATAATACTTCAAGATATTTAAATTTCATTTTTTTTTTCGTTGAAATTTTATATCGGGATCGGACTAGACTGATTGAATTACCGGTCTTTTCCCTGAGGATGGCAGTCTAGATCGGTCTTTTAATTTTTTCGGTCCGGAGGTTCCTATCGATATTTATTAAATTTTAGTATGCCTTACAATTCATATAAATTTTTAACAATTTTATTTTATAATGTTTTTCTAGATATTTTGATGCTTTGGTTTTGTTATTTTTTTTTTGCAAATATACTTATGAAAACGAAAAGTTTGTCAAGAAGAGAATTTTACTTTTAAATTGAATATTTGTTATTATTTATATACATAATTCATAATTTATTTTGAAATTTATATTTTAATAAAATGATAGCACAAGAATTATAAATTAGGTATTAAAAAATATTTTTAAAATAAAATAGAACCAAGGCCTGAACCATTTTGATCCTGACCTGGTCCGATTTGTGTATATCGGTTTAAACCAAAGACCGAACCATGACCTTAGCAATAATTCATTTATAATATAATTAATAAGATATTATTTGATCGATTGTATCATCTTGCTTAATAATCTATTTCTCTTCGTTATTAGTAAGAGTCATCTATCTGTGTTGAAAAAAATTTTTTTTTCACTTATGGAACTTGAATTTATTGATTTTCATTTTTAATTTGATAAAAAAAAATTAAAAATATCATATTTTTTATCTGGCCAGTCTGAATCGAACCAATGACCAAATAACGGGACCTGTTTATAACGAGAAAACCGGACAATTGCTACTTATCTATAATATTATTTTTTAAAAACAAAATTAAATTATATATTATAAGCTCGACGATACCACAACTCAGAGTAACTCGACCATAATCGTTAAACCTCCATTGACAACTGTTAACTCAACAATAATCTTTAAACAGCCGTTGTCAACTATCAAGAAGAAGAACACGATATTTACTTATCAAGGGCCTTTAAAGGATATCGAGAATATTCAAGAAAATGGTGGAGTAAGTCCCAATGTTAGGTTGACCAGGACGGCGCTTAAGAAAAAATCGTTCGCTCTAAATCATTACAAACCCGAAATGTTGGGAGATGGGAGAGGCTCCGTTATTAAAAAATTGAGGTTGCGCGAAAATGATGATATTGTTGACGGAGTTGTTGATTTAGAAGTACGCGATCCTTTACCCACCGGGGCTTCCCAAAGGGATAATAATTTTGGGGCTGCTCAAGGAAATGATATTATTTATTTACATAAACCGAAAAAATTTTACGATATCAAAAATAAATTAAAGACGGTATCAAACGCCCCGCATGGAACTTTACTGAACGAGGATATGAATCTCAAGGACGCACATCCTACTCCATCTAAAGATATCATGATTCCTCATGGTATAGTAAAACAAAGCAAAGCCAGCTTACTGAGATGGGCTTGCTCGCCAAAAAGAACAGACCCAACTCAAGGTTACCACGCAAAATGCACCCCTTCCCCTACCAGCTCTTCCTCGCAACATAAAAGCATCCCGAAATCCAATATCATACTTAATAATATAAGAAAAGCGCCATACTTAGGGGGTCAGAAGCGTGTCGCGGGAAACCGAGTCTCCCGAAATTATAATTTGAGGAAAGTGCGGCGAAAATAATCACCATTTTTTTACGATAATTTTGTGTTTTATATGTAAAAGAATAATTAGAATGACTCGATTATATAATATACATACTATATTTTATTTACTAATGTAAGTTATTAAAAGCAAAAAATATGCTTGGATTTTTATTAACCGTTTATAAAATACGGAACATTTCCAATATAGATCTATATTGAAATTGTATTGATCTAAATACTTTTTTAAAATTCTACCACCCAAGGTTGGGCCTTAGAGACATGTATAAAAAATAGAGTATTTTTAACCTGAGCCCTCTATCTAAGATTTTATAAAACTAATTAAATTATAAAGCTTTTTTTACTAATGACATCATTTTAACCAAAATACATAAAATAATCCAAATTTGCATTAAAATTTTGAATATATTTAACTAATGTTCATCAAATAATATCAAATCAAGGTTTTTTAATATAAATATCCGAATTGGAATTTAATTATGCAATGCTCAGCGTTAAGAATTTTTGCTTAAAAAATTTTCAAGAATTATTTATAACTGTACTATAATTTGAATACTTATTATATTAAAGTATCTTATATAAAATTTTTTATAGACGATTTTTAAATTTGTTACATTTTTAACTTCCTTTATACTTGTATATTTAACATATAAATAGAATATAATTAGTTAATTTAACATAATTAATCTTTAAAATTGCCAGTTTCTTTTCGTAAAATTATATTAAATTTTTGTTCCTCAGTGAGTGAAAAATCCAAAGACATAGCTAACCATATAATGATAAATATAATTCTTGCAAGAAGACAATGAATGTTGCAATCAGAAGAATTTTTATTAATAAAGATTTACAAAATTATGTCGCAGCTGTATTCATCTTTACAGTTTAAAATTGACAATAAATTTGGCGCTATTGCTGTAAATATATTGAAATGTTCAAATATTATTCTAATTAATATATTTATAAATGAACCAAATATTTTTATAAAGACATTTTAGAATATTTGCAATCAAAATTTGATTTAAATAACTCAATATGTATAGATATTATTATCTAGGAACAGAAACCATCAACTTTTTTGTAATTTAATAAATATATTAAAAATACCGATAAACATTGATGTCTTGTTTGACGAGATTCAAATTAGTTTTCTTTATATATAATATAAATAAAGTAACTTCACCACAAAAAAGGTATTTTGGAAAATATCACCTATTTTTAAATAATTAAACATTACCGACTTTTTTAATATTTATATAGAGTAATTATAAGAATTAATAGGTGAATAACTAAGCTAATTCACAATCCCGCCCTAAGGCGGCACTTCGTGGAACTTGGTCTCCAAAAAAATTTTTTGGGCAATTTTTATATTTCATCCGCTAAATACCAAATTTTTTCCGCAATCTGAAAATTTTGGCCTGGTAACTGCCTAAGAATTTATTTTAAAGAAATTATTAAAAATTATCTTGAGAAATTTACAAAACAATTTAATCATATATACATTTCAAAAAAAAAAAATTGAGTTTGATTTTCAATCCCAAGGTAATATATTTTTTGAAATAATTAAAATTACTATTTATTACCTCTGACTATATATGTTTGAAATATAACTTCAAACAATAAGTTTTTTTTGGAAATTGTGAAACAAGATATCAATATTCGATATCAAGCGTTCTTACAGATAAATCAGAATGGCCAGCGATATTTAATCTGAAGCTGTACATAATTGGATTCAATATGACAGATTTTTTTTTGCTTTAGAATGAATTGAGATATTATTTGATTACACAATATTTTTTGCAATAATTTTTATAAATGATATGGATTTGGCTTAGGTTATGAGAATCGCGAACATTATTATATTAATACTTAGAAAACTAAATGAAATATCGACCAAGTACAAGATTTGTGCGAATGTTTGTGATTGAAATTCCTAAGCTCTTTCATCTAGACATTACAACTATTATCGTGGACTTAATTGAGAGTTACTATAAAATGTGCGGTTTTTCCATTTTTGGATATATTTTTGACTCAAATTAAGGAACCATAGATTTTTCCAAATGGATTTATATATATATATACCGTTTCCTAGAAATCTCATTATGGATATATCACTGATTTTTTAAAATATAACTGCTCAACTCAATTTTAATCATAGGATATAAATGTATCGGTTGACTAATAAATTTAAGAATATAAATCTTAGTATGAAAGATTTATTTACAAATATAATCTGTTGGAATCCCGAAAGCATCACATACTTTATATTATACTTTGAAGTTTTTACAATATATTAAAATTAATGTATATTTTGGCAACCTTAACTATTAATATGTACACAAATGAGACGACCTTTTCTTAATTATGATAACTAATATCTCAGAGGTATGGATGTCAGATAATAATTTACCTCTACTCATCCTACATCTAACTTTAAGCTCCAATTGTGAATAAATCATTAAATATTTATCACAAAAAATTATTTTCTTTATAATATATATTTTGATTATTTTAAATTATCAACTAATGTTTAATTAATCTATTTAATCTTGATTTTCATAGCGGTTTATATACCTAAAGTATATTATAACAATATTATATTCGCTCTTATTTTGTATATAATAATTTATTATTTGGATTAAATCCATAATATGCATATTAAATATTAAAAAAATCATTAAATATAAAAAACATGAAATATAAAAAACATTATATTAAATTTTAAAAATCATTAAATGTTAAAAACCATTAAATGTTGGAAAACATTAAATCCAAAACATTATATAATTTAATTGTAAAAATGAAGTGAATGTTCTGGAGGTATTATGGCGTGAAGAATGCCCCTATTGGCAGGACAATGGTATATAAAAGGTGTAGTAGTGGATAAAAATCACCCTCTAGCATAAAGGAATGACGAAGAAAGCTGATTTGATATTGGTTTTGCAGGCGATCTCAGCCTTCTCCAGATTAGCGGACATCAGGGGGATTGATGTTAACCGCAATTAATATTAAAGGTAATTGGTGGAAGCTGGTGAGAAATCACTAATGACTCTGGTGGGTCAATCTGCTTTGGAAAGATGTGTAGCGGATCAGATTTGACCTGGCTGGTTTTGCTCGATGACGTTGGCATGTAACAGTTGCGACTAGCGAATTTGTTGGCCAGTCTTTGTTGACTGCTTTTACCTGCAACGGTCCTTGTATACGTGGCTGGGAGAGATCGTATTTTTTTTTGTAGCTCGGAGGCTCCTATACTTTGAAGGCATCATCCAGATGTAACATAAAAAATCAATGCCGTTTCTAGCTGGGCTTGGAGGCAGAGCCCGGTATGGCACACCATTTCTTTGATTAGATAAGACATTGCGAGGAGGATAGAGGAAATATTTATAGCGTATGAATGCCTCGAAGATCCCATATTGGTTCTTCTATGACTGTTCCTCACTCTTTTTCTGGCGAAGAGTAATGTTGTCTTTGAACACAGCGGGCGAGTAACTTGTCTATTAGTTGACATAGTTGTAAAATCGATTTTGAAAATCCTTATTAAAAAAAATTAAAAATGGATTTATGAAATTTTCTTTATATTATACCGAAAAAGCCAATCCCAAAATTACAAAATTTTTTAAAATATATTATATATTTCGCAAATTTTAATTTAAGTTATAAAAAATATAGGTCCGACACAACTAGACTGATTTTAAGAAATAAGCTATTATCTTTTGAATATATACAATGTTAAGAATGGTGTTATTTACTATGGAATTGTTTCCTACACAAACTGCAAGTGTTTAGAGTGACTACATTTTTGTTAGGACTATAATTGAGATCCGTATTTGTTTTAAGGATAGATTATGGCACAAGTTTTGAATTGGAATAGCATTCATCCATAGGTAACCATTATAATTATAGATAAATTGAAGGTTGGTAAGATCGAATATTTTAAAAATAAATAGTGTTAATTTTGTGAAAATAAATTAAAATACTTGATGAGATATGTGAAATCTATCAGACATCTATACTATATATGCCATCTGGTATACTTGTCACTTAAAACTGTCGACATTATTTTTAAAAAAATGTCAAACATCTAACTATTATTTCTGACTCTTGCTTAATAATTTCTCGTTTTCTTTGAAATATAGCTGAATCTTTTTAAATAAGAAAGAATACCAACTTCAAAATGGCTAATAACCACCTCGACAAAACTTACTTAAGATTGATATTAAATTAAGGTTAATTTTGGGATAATTGATTTGCATCGATTTATCTATGATAAAATTTAGAATATTTTTTTTAATCTGATATATTTTAATAAAGAAAATATTTTATGTACAATTTTTTTAACGAAACGATTTAACCATATATAATTTCAAAAAAATATTATTTTAGTTTAATTTTATTCCATGGTTTATTAGTTTTTCCATATTTTAAATAACTTTTTGGAAAAATCAAAATATATATTAATTACATTAACTTCAAACATGAAGTAATTTTTTTGGAAAAGGGTTAATTATGATACTTTATCGCCGGTTAGTCCAGTTATTCTTTGCTTGTGTCGCTGTGTTCAGAATCAACATTGCTCTTCGCCAGAAAAAGAGTGAGGAACAGTCATAGAAGAACCAATATGGGATCTTCGAGTCATTCATACGCTATAAATATTTCCTCTATCCTCCTCTCAATATCTTATCTAATCAAAGAAATGGTGTGCCATACAGGGCTCTGCCTCCAAGTCCAGCTAGAAACGGCATTGATTTTTTATGTTACATCTGGATGATGCCTTATAAGTATAGGAGCCCCCGAGCTACAAAAAAAATACGATCTCTCCAAGCCACGTATACAAGGACCGTTGCAGGTAAAAGCAGTCAACAAAGACTGGCCAACAAATTCGCTAGTCGCAACTGTTACATGCCAACGTCATCGAGCAAAACCAGCTAGGTCAAATCTGATCCGCTACACATCTTTTCCAAAGCAGATTGACCCACCAGAGCCATTAGTGATTTCTCACCAGCTTCCAAAAATTTCCTTTAATATTAATCGCGGTTAACAAATCCCCCTGATGTCC